ACTTCGCATATCCATTGATGAGTGGGACAACATTCCACAGGCAACAATCAACAGCCTGATCAACTCTATGCGAAAGAGATGTGTCGCGCGGCATGGTGCAAATGATGGTCACACCAGATACTGACTGGTTTTCTGATCCCTGCCCCTAACCTTTTAAGGTATCTGTGACCAACAGATGCATATCTATATTCCCAGTCATGTGAAATCCATAGATTAGGGCCTAATTAATGTATTTCAATTGACTGATTTCCTTATATGAACTATAACTCAGTAAAATCTTTGAAATTGTGGCATGATGCATTTATATTTTTATTCAGTGTACTTTAGTGCCTTGTTGCATACATGTTTTGGAATATTTATATTCTTCTTTTCACTCTATCATTTGGGTCATTATTTAAAATCCCCAATGGCCTCATGGTGACATCCCTAAGCAGTTTCCTTCCTGTCCTGCAGCTCAGTTCAGAAGGACAACTGCATCTTTGATGAGTCTGGGTGGTTTAATACATGCCAGTGCTAACAGGGATCCTTGAGACGTCCCTGCCCTAAAAACCCTAACCCCCTACCCTTACCTAACCTTAACCCTTACCATTTTAAATGTCAACTTCAACTCCCAAGGATACCGGATAGCACAGAATATTTTATACATCAACAGCATAATTATTCACTTGACCATGCTTAAAGATATATTCCATGTCTGATTTGAAAAAAAGTTCAAGGGGGTGTAGACTTTCTATAGGCAATGTGTGTGCTTTTAAAAAGCATACTTATTGAATAGCTTAGTCTTCTTTGTTGTCGTTTAAAAATAATAAATAAATACAATTAATAGAATAGTCCTACTTGTTATTCACATTAGGCTGAGCATCACACCATGAACATGCACACCCACACAATACGACAAGAGTAGTTTGTAAATGTATGCCATCAGCATTCCTTCCACTAGACAGGTACATTCTTCTGTGCACAGCTCTTCTGTGCATTTCTCAATATTTAGAGCAAGGGTAGGCAACTAGATTCAGCCGCGGGCCGATTTTTATCGGAGCGGATGGTCAGGGGCCAGAACATAATTATAATAATTTCTACACTGCAAATTGACCACAACTAAGCCCAAAAAGAGATTGCATTTTAAAAGAACAATCATTTCATACCTTGATTACATCAAGACACGATCACGTCTCTTTTATTCGTGGGAATACTTGAACAGATTTCCTAAATTAAACTAATTTGTAGCTGACTTCCTGGCGATTTTTTTCCTGGAACAATTATTTTTTTTAGCTAAAAACTTGATTTAGATGGTGGCCAAAACTGGCCATCTCCCAGAAATGTATTTACTTCGTATGTCATCGCCATAACTCAAAACTGTGACTGTCACAGGAGACATAGGTTCAGCATTTTTAGGTATCGAAACATTTCAAATGATTCTCCTGTAGGCATTGTCGTTCTCGTGTGCAGTTGAAAGGAAGCATTCTCCACATTCCAGGAAGGTAGATCCTCTGTTGCCTGCCCGAGGCATCTTTTAACAGTTGGACAGCTGCACAGAGGTACAGTGTGAAACACCAGATTGTGATTGTGCCAGATATAATTAAGATGTTATGTGTTGTACTGAAATTGGAAATATTTTTCATACATGACATTCAAGAAGTTAATGTGCTGCATTACTTTATCCACACTTCTACAAGTTTAATGCCAGCTGCTGAATTTAGAAAGTGCCTCCAAGAACCTTATACATGTGCACTTGTGATCTATGTAATTGGCTCAATGATGGTTGTAATGGTGAACAATTATGACATTATTAAAGGGCAAGAAGAGGCAGGAAGAAACATTAGCTGGGGAGATGTCTATATTCTGGCTAGATGTGAGCAACAGGACTCCAGGTACTCTTAATATGAAACCAATTTCCTCCAGACAGAGACAGATATGAGTTATTCATCTAATCCCTTCCAAGGCAGAGGAGCATGGTCCTCACTGACAAATACACCAGACACTCAGGTCAGTAGAGATTTACTCTTGCAAAATTATTGCCATATTGGGCAAACTTAGAGGCACCCTGTCAACCAATTCATACTTATAATGGTGACATCTACCTCCAAATTTCAAGTGAGCTCAGTTTTACTGATGTGTATACGAAACATGATATTAAGCAGGTTTGAAAACATGATACAAATCGAATGTTTGAATAGGCTATGAACCGAAAATATTTGGATCACAATTCAAGCATGCTTGGCCCAGTCAGACACCGACAGAACAAACCAATAGCACTCCAAGGACACACACAGTCTATTGCTAAATTACTATGTACCTCAGCAGTTTGGACTGTTGACGACCCTCGGTGGAGTGATGCCGCCAGCTATTCACTGATAGAAATCCAATGTTTGACTGGCTCCTAAGCCTCATCGACATTCATATGTTCAGGACAGGGAAGTATACTGAACAAAAATATAAAACGCAACATGCAACAATTTCAAAGATTTTACTGAGTTACTGTTCATATGAGGAAATCAGTCAATTTAAATAAAATCATTAGGCCCTAATCTATGGATTTCAAATGACTGGGAATAGAGATGGTCACAGATAGCTCTTTTTTTTATCAGAAAACCAGTCAGTATCTGGTGTGACCACCATTTCCCTCATGCAGTGTGACATCTCCTTCGCATAGAGTTGATCAGGTTGTTGATTGCTGTCCCACTCCTCGTCGATGGTTGTGCGAAATTGTTGGATATTGGCGGGAACTGGAACAAGCTGTTGTACATGTCGATCCAGAGCATCCCAAACATGCTATTTGGTTGACAAGTCTGGTGAGTATGCAGGCCATGGAAGAACTGGGACATTTTCAACTTCCAGGAATTGTGTACAGATCCTTGTGACATGGGGCCGTGCATTATCATGCTGAAACATGATGTGATGGCAGCGGATGAATGGCACAACAATGGGCCTCAGGTTCTCATCACGGTATCTCTGTGCATTCAAATTGCCATCGATAAAATGCAATTGTGTTCGTAGCTTATGCCTGCCCATACCATAAACCCACCGCTACCATGGAGCACTCTGTTCACAATGTTGACATCAGCAAACCACTCATGCTGTTTAATTAGCTTCTTGATATGCCACACCTGTCAGGTGGATGGATTATATTGGCAAATGAGAAATGCTCACTAACAGGGATGTAAACAAATTTGTGCAAACAATGAGAGAAATAAGCTTTTTGTGCATATGGACAATTTCTGGAATATTTTATTTCAGCTCATGAAACATGGGAAAAACACTTCACATGTTGCGTTTCTATTTTTGTTCTGTGTAATTACTACTGAACATAGGACTGGTTTGAATTTTCTGCAGACACTGACTGCATTATAAAATCACTTCTGCTTCATTCACTCAACTAAGAGCCATGTACAGATCCAACACAAACCTCACTCTAAAATGGCCTTATCGGTCACCTATCATATAGAACATATCCCTTAAAGTGGGTATTAAACATCAGATAACGCAATCCAATATCGGATGAACAATAAAGAAACTCAATTCAAAATACAGTCAGGTCAAATGTAGGAGTATTTGGCTAGTGCATAAGCAAGGCCTCAGGCTAGGATATTACAGGACAGTCATTTTTGGTCTCACCCGTTACATTTTTCCAGACCTCTTACCATCCAAATCCCCCTGGGCCGTTGTCCATTTCAGCAAAAGGTATTTGGTTTCAAAGTGCACTCTCAGATTCACTGCTATTTTTAATTTGGGCCTATGCTGTCTTTATATGGGACACTCTTTTCACGCTACTTCGATACAAAGTGATTTTCGTAGCAGGTTGGTAGGGCATTTTCGCGAACTGTAACCTCAGTCTCCTAACCTGCTGCGTAAATTGCCCTAACCTGCTACAAAAAAGTAACTTCGGTATCGAAGTGGCGTGAAAGGTTTTTCCCAACTCAATATAGCCACATTGGCATTTTTTTTTTTTGGTGGTACTTTTTACACCTTTTTTTCTCCCCAACTTCGTGATATCCAATTGGTAGTTACAGTCTTGTCCCATCGCTCGCTTAACCCGGAAGCCAGCCGCACCAATGTCAGAGGAAACACCGTACAGCTGGCGACCGAAGTCAGCATGCATGCGCCCGGCCGCCACAAGGAGTCGCTAGAGTGTGATGGGACAAGGACATCCTGGCCGGCCAATCCGGCTAACCCGGACGACGCTGGGCCAATTGTGCACCGCCTCATGGGTCTCCCGGTCGCGGCTGGCTGTGACACAGCCCGGGAGCAAACCCAGACCTGTAGTGACGCCTCTAGCACTGCGATGCAGTGCCTCAGACCGCTGTGCCACTCGGGAGGCCCCCATAGCCACATTGCTTTGACTGAGTCTTAAAATGGCAGCAGTTCAGACAGAGTGGATGTTAAATTAACCCTGGACTGAAGCATTAAAAAGGTTGGGAATGCTAACGACAACATCGCAAAGCTGATCCAGAATCCTTCATACTGAAGGGGTGATAATTGGATTTGTCAAAGTTTTTGTTAGACATCTGCGAGTACATTTTTTTTAGATTGATTAACTATGGAACAAATAAACAATCTTCCACAGAAAAGAAAAATCATGAATTATTAATTTATTATGGATAAAAATGAGTATTAAGAAATGATCAATTTCTATTGATAGAAAATCAGTTACATACAACTGATTAAACGCTTATATTTCAAGTGACAAAATAATTCCCTAGTATGATCGTCTAATTAAAATTGTCTCGTTGATGTATTTTAGCCCTCATAATTAGGCCATTTTACAGCAGTTCACAGTAAGTACATTTACCTGTGCCCTCTAAGATTTAGACAGATAAAAGAGTGTCTCATTAAGAATCAATTGCTACACTTTATTACATGGAACGTAGAAGAGGACATTTAAAAGACATTGAAAAATGACCAACAACACACTGAAACACACAAACAGATAAAAGGACTATCCTATAGCAGAGGCTAAGTTCTGGCATGTCTTTTGTCTATACTAGCATGCTTTGCCCATCTTAAGACTCTTCCCTGATGGGCGTACATCCAGAGAAAAAGCTGTTCTGGAAGCTAGTAAGGACCCGCTTCTTCTTCTTCAAGAAGCTGGCCGTGTTCCTCTCTTCATCCTCCTCCTCTTCCTCCTCCTCCTCCTCCTCGACTGAGATAGTCTTCCTCACAAGCTATAAGAACACAGCAAGAAAGATAGTATTTTCAGCACAATAAATAAGGACATGATCTGAAAAACCCAATACCCACCTAAGACGCCGCTTTGTGCAAAATAATACCACCACACCAGATTCAACCATAACACTACCCAAGGCATCATTAGGCTTAAAACAGTGATGTTGTTTAAGAGAGTGTGATGAGTCTGTTACTGGTATGATGTCACCGCCCTGATGTGCCTACCTTGGTGGGAGTGACACAGGGTGGTTTAAAGAAGGTGGCGTCCCCAGAGCTAATGGCCATGGGGTCTTGGGGAATAGAAACTAAATCTTTGGACCCATCGTCGGTGACCTCGCTGGAGTCCTGATTTTAGGAAGAGAGGAAAATGATTATGAAAAATAAAATGCACAAACAATGAAATAGTCTCCCACACAGGGAGGCAGGTAGCTTAGTGGTTAAGAGCGTTGTGCCAGTAACCGAAAGGTCGCTGGTTCTAATCCCCGAGCCCACTAGGTGAAAAATCTGTCGATGTGCCCTTGAGCAAGGCACTTAACCCTAATTACTCCTGTAAGTCGCTCTGGATAAGAGCGTCTGCTAAATGACCAATTATTATTATTATTATTATTATTATTATTATTGAATGTAGGGAGCCTATGGTATACATACATTTATATCTGACAGAGGGACAATTTTAACTTACTATACTGGACGTCTGGTTGTCCATGTTGCGGCACTTCTCATGGTCACACTGGCAGTTCTCCCCACAGCTCATCTTTCCCTTACGGCACCGGCACAGCTTGTTGCCACAGCGACCCTTACAGGCACACTGAAGGAAGAGGAATACAGATGTGCAAATTCATTTAACACTACAAATACATGAGAATAGAGATCTGATCATCTCTAAAACTACTGACAGTGCTGCCCCGGTCTCACTAAATGATTTCCTATACATCATGTCTATGTTCTCACCCCTGTAGCCTTGTTTTTTTTTACATTGGAGCTCTTTCTGTTACGGCCGCTCTCATTCTTCTCAGGGCACCACTCATCCTCCTCTGACTCGGAGGTAGACTCCAGCTCCTCCATGTCGATGGCCATCTTCAGGGGAGCCCTGGCTGTAGTGAAACGCCGGCCTTTAGGCTGCAAGAGGTAAAGAACACCAGCCTCTCAGCACTGGTCTAGGTCAGGGTCACCTTCCCCTAGACTCGAATGGGGGAAATGTTCACACTAACAGTTGGATATCAAACAGACTGGTGAGGAAGCGTACCAGTGGCTTACCTTAGGTGGGATGTACTCAAAGGAGTCATCTGGGGACTGAATGGATGTTGGAAGGAGGTTGTTGATCTTTTTCCCACTGGCCAACTGGAGCAGTGTTAGTTTCTGAGGACACAGATCAAAAGTTGCTTGATATGGACAGTTTCAACAAATAGTTGACCTAAATGTTTAGAAATGTAATAACCTGTACTTTTAGCACCTAGGGTGAGAAAAGTGCTTTACAAATGTATTATTATTATTATTATTATGTTACCTGTAGATTAGGCTTGGGCGATATACCGTATACTGGGGTATTTAGAAATACTGAATGTATGATTTTCAATACCCCATTTTCTTTTTGGGGAGTTGGGTCACCCACGCCTTGCAGATGCTGCTTGCTACGCCAATGCTTATAACTACACTCACCGGCCAGTTCATTAGGTACACCCATCTAGTACCGGGTTCAACACCCCCCTAGTACCGGGTTCAACACCCCCCTTTGCCTCCAGAACTACTTGCATTTTTCCACTCCTAAATTGTCCAGTGTTGGTGATGGCGTGCCCACTGGAGCCGCTTCTACTTGTTTTTAGCTGATAGGAGTGGAACCCGTTGTGGTCGTCTGCTGCAATAGCCCATCTGTGACAAGGATCGACGAGTTGTGCGTTCCGAGATGCCGTTCTGCAAACCCCTGTTGTACTGCTGCGTTATTTGTCTGTTTTTAGCCTGCCTGTTAACTTGCACAATTCTTGCTATTCTCCTTCGACCTCTCTCATCAATGAGCTGTTGACTGGATGTTTTTTGTTTGTCGCACCATTCTCGGGAAAACATACACTGTCGTGCTTGAAAAGCCCAGGAGGGCAGTCGTTTCTGAGATACTGAATACTGCGTGCCTGGCACAGACTATCATACCACGCTCAAAGTTGCTTAGGTCACTCGTTTTGCCCATTCTAACATTCAATCGAACAGTAACTGAATGCCTCGATGCCTGCTTTATATAGCAAGCCACGGCCACATCCATTTTCATGAACGGGGTGGGGTACCTAATAAACTGAAAAGACCAACAATGTGCTTGACTTAAAAATCAGGTGCTGGATCCTCGTATATAATGAAAAGAACAGAAATATGACAGCACTCCGGTAAACAAATGTAAATTTACATTTTTATTGCCGCACGAACGTTTTCTTCAGCGTGCAAGGCAATGGCAATCAATGTCACAACAACAAGACCTCATAGGTGGGCATAATTATACATTCACAGCCAGTATTGGCCCAATCAAGAGATCCCAGCAGAGGGAGCTTTGGGGGAAACATGAAAATCAAATAAAGATAGACACACAATACAAATACAAGTACCTAATAAACTGGCCTGTGAGTGTATAAGTTAAGTATAACTACAATATATCTAAGATGTGTCAAATAAATTATATACAGCTCAGGGCTCCAGCAATGCATTTGGTTTGCTAACTTGCTAGCTAAGTGTCTAGATGTCAAGAGCAAGCTTCTTGGTTACAGCAAAGATATTCAATCCAGTCCTGGATCAAGATCGCTGTTGCCTAAATTGTTTTCTATTTCAAAAAAATTGTGACCCTTGTGTGCACTTCCGGTAATATCGTATACCTCGGTATGGTACAGAAACAGTATGACTGTATGAAAATCTGGATACCGCCCAACCCTACTGTAGACCTTTGTTATTGTACATACTTTGGAGTGTTCTATTGTCCTTGTACATGCTCATCCGGGCATTTACCTGTTTGTATTGTTCATTTTCGTCCATCAGCCTCTGGTTTTGCTCATTCAATTCCCGCATCTTTTCAATCTCATCCTCCTGTAGAGACAGGCATTGAATTTGGAGGGGGGTTAGAATACCTATATTCACCCTGATCAGTCTTTGACAGAGTATTTTCTTAAAGACTCAACACTTTGAGCTGAACTTGAAGTCAAATCAACCTGCTTGGACAATGAGGATTAATAGCAGAAACAAGTACATTGCTTAATATTTATATATATTTCTTGATTCCATTCTTTTCCTTTTAGATGTGTGTGTATTGTTGTGAATTGTTAGATACTACTGCACTGTTGGAGCTAGGAACACAAGCATTTCGCTACACCCGCAATAACATCTGCTAAATATGTGTATGTGACCAATAACATTTGATAAATAGACCTGACTTTGATCATGATGAACATTCCTCCAACATGTCAGTGTGCACAGTAGCTGAGAGGACAGTGTGACAGACCTGGAACTTGAGGCGCTGCAGAAGCTCCCTCTCCCTTTTTGAAGTCTCCTCCTGCTTTTTCTCCACTGACTTACTCTCCTTGCTCTGCAGCTGGCCCAGGAGGTAGAGGACCTTCTCCTGGTGCATCTGCTCCAACTCCACCAGGTGGTGCTGGTGCTCCATGTCCATGGTGGACATCAGCTTCCTCTCGTCACACAGCGTCTTCTGCAGGTCCAGCACGTTGCCCTTTTCCTGCTTGAGCTCGCTCTCCAGCTTAGAACTGGTCGTTTTGGCAGACACCAACTGTGGAGGCGGTGACATTAATTGTAAGCCGCTCTGAATAAGAGCGTCTGCTAAAAGACTAAAATGTCAAACTTAATTTTTAGTTGTCATGTATTTTGTCAATAAACATTAGCTTACAAGGTAGGCTAATAGGCAGAGAATGACATGCTTTTCAAGACATTGAGAACTTGTGACACTAATAAGCTTCAACGATATGCGAATAAACTCATGTCTTGCCTCTGACATGAGGACCTTGAGGGCACACTTGGCCTCCACCATAGTAGTGATGTTGTCCCAGCGCTGTTTCAACCGCCCCTCATTGTCTGCATCCAGAACCTTCTGCTGTAGGTCAGCTATCTGGGCACTCCTAGGAGGAAAACCATGGAACATTACATGTGAATGTTAGTCTATAAATGCACATGAATGTGATTCAACTGCCCAAATGTAAATACTTTATCACATATCATTACTCTGTTCTAAGGACTTGCATCTGGCAGCCGTCACAATATCCTATCAACAGGAATTAACAAAGAACAGATGGGGAAGGCGTATGCTTTGGAAGGTGTGAAAAGCTTTGGAGCAACGCCTCACTATGACATCAACATTTCTCCAGGAAAGCCAAGGGGAGGTAGGCCAGGAATTTACAATGACAGTGCAAAAATACATAGCAATGCAACTGAAATAAATTATATGGATGACTTTCTCAGCAGTGGAGTCATGAAAAAAACTCAAATGCATTAGCAGTAAGGTGAGGTCCATGTTTAGGTTTTGGTTAGAAGGAATCCCTCAGCAGCAGGAGGTAATATAGGTCCATGTTTAGGTTTTGGTTAGAAGGAATCCCTCAGCAGCGGGAGGTAATATAGGTCAATGTTTAGGTTTTGGTTAGAAGGAATCCCTCAGCAGCGGGAGGTAATATAGGTCCATGTTTAGGTTTTGGTTAGAAGGAATCCCTCAGCAGCGGGAGGTAATATAGGTCCATGTTTAGGTTTTGGTTAGAAGGAATCCCTCAGCAGCGGGAGGTAATATAGGTCAATGTTTAGGTTTTGGTTAGAAGGAATCCCTCAGCAGCGGGAGGTAATATAGGTCAATGTTTAGGTTTTGGTTAGAAGGAATCCCTCAGCAGCGGGAGGTAATATAGGTCAATGTTTAGGTTTTGGTTAGAAGGAATCCCTCAGCAGCGGGAGGTAATATAGGTCCATGTTTAGGTTTTGGTTAGAAGGAATCCCTCAGCTGCGGGAGGTAATATAGGTCCATGTTTAGGTTTTGGTTAGAAGGAATCCCTCAGCAGCGGGAGGTAATATAGGTCCATGTTTAGGTTTTGGTTAGAAGGAATCCCTCAGCAGCGGGAGGTAATATAGGTCCATGTTTAGGTTTTGGTTAGAAGGAATCCCTCAGCTGCGGGAGGTAATATAGGTCCATGTTTAGGTTTTGGTTAGAAGGAATCCCTCAGCAGCGGGAGGTAATATAGGTCCATGTTTAGGTTTTGGTTAGAAGGAATCCCTCAGCTGCGGGAGGTAATATAGGTCCATGTTTAGGTTTTGGTTAGAAGGAATCCCTCAGCTGCGGGAGGTAATATAGGTCCATGTTTAGGTTTTGGTTAGAAGGAATCCCTCAGCAGCAGGAGGTAATATAGGTCCATGTTTAGGTTTTGGTTAGAAGGAATCCCTCAGCTGCGGGAGGTAATATAGGTCAATGTTTAGGTTTTGGTTAGAAGGAATCCCTCAGCTGCGGGAGGTAATATAGGTCCATGTTTAGGTTTTGGTTAGAAGGAATCCCTCAGCTGCGGGAGGTAATATAGGTCAATGTTTAGGTTTTGGTTAGAAGGAATCCCTCAGCTGCGGGAGGTAATATAGGTCCATGTTTAGGTTTTGGTTAGAAGGAATCCCTCAGCTGCGGGAGGTAATATAGGTCAATGTTTAGGTTTTGGTTAGAAGGAATCCCTCAGCAGCGGGAGGTAATATAGGTCCATGTTTAGGTTTTGGTTAGAAGGAATCCCTCAGCAGCGGGAGGTAATATAGGTCCATGTTTAGGTTTTGGTTAGAAGGAATCCCTCAGCTGCGGGAGGTAATAAGTAAGGTCAGTACTAGTCAGACTCACCTGAGGTTTATCTCTGTCCCCAGGTTGTCTACCTGTTTGCTGAGAGACGCCTCCAGCTCTCCCTGACTCTCCAGCTCTGAGATAATGAGGGTCCGACGCTGTGGGAGTACAGAGAGAGAGAAAACACAGTAAAAACAGTTTAGGAAGCAAAGCGAAGCAAAGTGATGTATTCCATCCACTAATACTAAACAATATGCATTTAACATCTCTATTTTTATGATTTTTATATTGAACAACTTTTAAAGGGTTCTCAACTTTGATAGCTTTGTCATTGAGATCAGGACAACAAATATTAAAAAGGTAAGAAACTGCATACAATTTGTTTTTATGTTGGTAATTATAGTATTTTTTCAGATTGATAAGATGAGTCTGAAATTAACTTCTGATAAGCCGAGACAGTCCGCCAAAATGAGGCAAGGTAGCTAGCTAGCCATCTACTTGATTTAGCACTTATCTTGTCTTTATGTTAATACTGTCTTTGATAACTGTACAAAATACAATTCTCATATTATCAATTTGAAGAGCATTTGTCATTGGTATAGCTAAGAGCTAAAATGAACTGGCTAGAGCCTGATTCTACAGTAGCTAGCTAGCCAGCCACCCACAAGAGAGGGCTGCAGCAGGATTGCCATTTTACCAGTAAAAGGTATGATACCCATATAATTATTAGTTAGCTAGATAACTATCTACATATCTCATTAGGTATTTGTTTATCTATTATTCCTAAAAATAGTAAGCCTGCTGGCTGTTGATTGCAAGATTTGTATTTGTATTTATTAGGAATCCTCATTAGCTGCCTTGGCAGCAGCTACTCTTCCTGGGGTCCAAACATATTAAAGCACTTACATTACATTTAAAACAAAATATAAAAAACAGTACATCATGACATTATTACACCACTACCTATCTACAATACAAAATGTTTAATACCACCATACAACAATATCACAATGTGTGCGTATGCATGTGTCTATACCCTTGTGTGTGTGTCTCTTCACAGTCCCTGTTGTTCCATAAGGTGTATTTTTAACTGTTTAAAAAAATCTGACTCTACTGCTTGCATCAGTTACCTGATGTGGAATAGAGTTCCATGTAGTCATGGCTCTATGTAGTACTGCGCGCATCCCATAGTCTGTTCTGGACTTGGGGACTGTGAAGAGACCTCCAGTGGCATGTCTTGTGGGGTATGCATGGGTTTCCGAGCTGTGTGATAGTAGTTTAAACAGACAGCTCGGTACATTCAGCTTGTCAACCCCTCTTACAAAAACAAGCAGTGATGAAGTCAATCTCTCTTCCACTCTGAGCCAGGACAGACTAAGCCTAAAGCTTATGATAGCTAGGCTGATAACATGCTGTGGAGGCTGCAGACATGGCTGAGGGACAATCCCACCCTCACATCCTAGTTGAGCCTAGATGAACTTCAATGTACTGGAGGACTACACTAGAAAGTGTTGGCTTTGTCAGAGGAAAGATAGGAGGAAATTACATTGTTCCAATTTTCGATGTAAATTGCACTTTGTTTTCAGGTTTGAATGAGACGATGTATTTCCCTTAATAAAGTTATTTAAATAAAGTTCTTGATTTATTAATATTATATTACTTGTGTATGTCTTTCCTCATCATATGTCAAATTAAATGCAATTTGTAATGTTTTGGTGCAGATTTGTAGTTAATTTACAATCCAGATAAGTGTCTGATAACGAGCATTACATAGAATCCTAGAAAAATACCACCGTTCCCTAAAACAGCTGTAACTCATTCACAATAAAAGGTATTACTATTCTGATTTTAGATTTTCAATCCTTACAAAATAAGACTTAATACACTCATTTTTTTCTCCATCGTCATTAGGAAGCATAGATTTTCATATAAGATACTCATTTCACAGGTATTTCTTCTTGACTGATTACCATTTGATTGATGTGGTGATATTGTATGTCATATCATTTGAAATGGCTGTTTCTCAGCTTTCAAAATGTGTATCATGTTTTCATATATGGTTTGACACTAGATAAATTAGCTCATTAATGCCCGCAGAGTTCATGGTCTTTCAGACAGTTTTGGGATTCAGCCTTTTTTGGGAAATCCTGCCAGTGATGCAACAATACCAATCTGACGATTTAGTTAGTTGGTGTTCGAAAGCCTAGTGTTTCCATTCCCCTTTAACTAACTCCTATAGAGAAACATATAGAAGCATCATTTCCTCATGTAGCCTAGCGGTGGAAATTTACTAAATTTCATTTAGTAAAAGCTCAGATTCTCATTGATCTTTTTAAGAAAGGGACTCCACTTACCCTGACTTTGGCAGCAGGCCGCTCCCCTGCCTCCATCTGTTGTTTGAGTTGGGAGATCTCCTCTGCCAGGATCTTCCTGTCCTCCAGCAGGTCCTGCAGGTGGCGCCGCGCCTCCCCTGTGCTCACCAGCACCTCCACCTCGTTCAGGAGCCAGGTCTGCCCACACACACACAGATTCAGGTAACAGCTTACATTACTCACTCAGTCATTAATTAATTAATTCATACATACACAGCGACAGTACTAGGGTTGCAAAATTCTGGGACCTTTCAATAAATTCCCCTGGTTTTCCTTCCTTATTCCGGAAATCCTCCAACCGGGATTTCGGGAAAAATAGGAACTTTTTTTCCCGAAAGTTCCAAAATTTTGCAACCCTAGACAGCACTCATTCAAACCACACACAATCACTTAGACCACAGCATGCACATTCGCATAATACATTATGGCAATAATTTCCTTTCTTGCAAACCAGGACCCCTCACAAAACGTTGATCAAATAATTCACAGTACACAAACAGAATCAAACAAATAGTTGACCAGACCTTCACTCTCCCGGCTGCTCCCTCCATCCCTCTGTATTGGACATCCTTTCGTTTCTCTGCCACCTCACTCCTCTTCTGCAGGGCATCCTTCAGACGCTTATTGGCTGCTGCGGCCTGAAGGAGAACACCCACAGTTAGAACTACCTCTCACCACAGTTCCAGCGAACAGCCATTAAAGAATTGACACAAAACACGTTTTCCTGATTAGATGTAATAGACCTAGGCCTCACCTCCTCAGTTTTACGACGCAGGACATTAGCCTGCTTCTGGAAGTCACTCTCAAGCTTCACCATCTGAAACTGACGTTTACGGTCCTGAGAGAGAGGTGAGAAATGTATTGTCATTGAAACAAAACAATAATCTACCACATGGAAATAAAAGTGGTGAACAGTGTGCCTTATCCGTGGATTGGTGAGTCTGCCACAGAGTCGCTACCGCACATCACACACACCTTCTCCTTGAGCTGAAGAACCTCCTTGTCCTTCTTGTTCTTCCACACTCTGAACTTCTCAGAGTCCTCCTTCATCTGCCTCATCAGCTGTACACGCTGACTCTTCATAGCCTACAGGGAAAGAGAGCAGACAAACAGAGAAGCCATCAACAACCACGTCTTAGAAAACCATAATTAGGTCGAATTCAACCATTTAGTTTCAGAAGCCCATTGACTGATCAGATCCAGACTGAAAACCTCTCATTGTCCTGAAAAATAGTGCCGATTAGTTCAGAGTAACTGGTATATCCACAGCTCAGCAGTATACCCACAGTGTTGTGACAGTGACACACCGGATGCAAGCACATTGTCATACCTGGATCTCATGGTTGAGCTTGGCCACGCTTCGGACAGAGGACTCTTTGACTTTGAGGAGTTTGGACTGCTCCTGGAGCTTCTTCTTCATGTCTGTGATCTGACCCTCCAGCTCCTGCAGACGCTTCCTCCGTTGCTCACTCAGCCTGGTGGAAAGATGGAGAGAGAGGGAGAAAGACAGAAGGAAATGAGACTGATGATTCCATTCTACTGCAGAGAAATGCTTATACTAAACGTAAAGTTGTGTTACACACCAAGCTTGTGGCTATCATAAAGGAAACTCTTGTGACAGATAACTATCATATCAATTCACTATACAGACTGAACATAAAGACCCTTTTAAAATACTTAGCCTTACTTAGCCTGATTGACATCCTTCTTGGCAGAGTGGAGAGCCAGGATGAGGTCCTCCTTTTCCTTCTGCAGAGAGCCCACTGATGTCTGCAGGCTCTTGATGTTATTCTGGAGGGGAACCGTTAATTAGGAGTTAAGATTAAAAAGCTGCTCCACCAGTTTAGTTTGAAACCTTCCCAGTGGATAAGAATCAAAGTGCTGTGCTGGTGTTGCCTCCCCCGGTTCAGCCCTCTAAACCTCCATTACAACCAACCCATATTTTCTCTCCCCTCTCCGGACGGTCATCTCCAGCCCTACCTGGTGTTCAGTCTGCATAGGCTCCAGGTGGCTGTCATTCTGGCACATCTTCCTGACAAACTCCTCCTTCAGAGCCAGAACGTTGTTGAGCTCAATCAGCTCCTTGGACATCTGGGCCTGACGCAGGGCATGCTGGGTAGTGAAGCCCTCTGGAGAGTCCTTGCCAGCAGCAGTCTGAAGGGTGGGGAAGAGGATGTATGTTTGTTTGTTTGTTTGTATGGTAACAAAACACACTTGTTTCGTACAACACATCTGTTGTACAACACCTAAACAACTTGCACAACAATTCTATAGGATCAGTGAAAATGCAATAATCCCAAAACACTTGCACAGAATCAGATACATGTCAGGAAGAGTACATCTGCAGCAGACAGCCTTCTCCATTAGATGAGTGGTTCTAGATGACCAGACTTACTGAAGGAGAGCCATCAGTTGGGGTGCCGCTGCCACTCCCTGGCCCATCAGGGCTGTCCTCTCCTTCAGCCCCACAGTCTGCAGCCAACGCCTCAATAGTGGCAGCAAGGCCAGCACTCTCATCCTGGAGGAACAAGAGCACAGACATTATTACCCAGACAGGATGCAGAGCAGCTTCTTATTAGACTGAATATGGGGAAGGGAACTAATATATCCAGCCATTCAAACATTGACACGTGCAATGTGTATAATGTTACAGAATAAATCAAGTGTCCTTTATCCTTATGACTAGCATGACCAATAAGGTCATGAAATTGCACAGAAATAGCTTAGCTACTGTGAAATTCAGAGGAAAAATGCTTTGCTTGCTAAACACAGAGGACTGAATGCAGTCTGTCATGCATCAGTAGATCCAGGCTTGTGGTTTGTGAGAGCTCCCTCGTCTGGCCGTACCTGGAGCTGCAGGATGACATGCTGCAGATTCTGGATCACTTCCACATTCTCCTTCAGCTCCTGGTCCTCCAGAGTCTCCATCACCCTCTGCAGGTCCACTTTACACCTAAACGATAAGCCTTGTGTTTTAACACAAATTATTCTGGTGCCAATTACCTATTCGGACAATGGAGTCAATGGGCTCCCGAGTGGCGCAGCGGTCTAAGGCACTGCATCTCAGTGCTAGAGGCGTCACTACCGACCCCGGTACGATTCCAGGCTGTATCACAACCGGCCGTGATTGGGAGGGCGGCGCACAATTGGCCCAGCGTCGTCCGGGTTTGGCCGGTGTAGGCCGTCATTGTAAATAAGATTTTTCTTAACTGACTTGCCTAGTTAAATAAAAGGTTCAATTAAAAATGGACATTTAAATGTTTACATTTGAATCATTTAGTAGAGGCTCTTATCCAGAGCGACTTACAGTTTATGCATTCATCTTAAGATAGCTAGGTGAGACAACCACATATCTCAGTCATAGTAAGTAAACTTTTCCTCAATAAAGTAACAAAGTCAGAGCTCGTAAGGGGAGAAAAAAGTCAAGTGCAAGTGTTAGTTCACTAAAGGATGTTCAGACTTACGCTGCATGCTGCCTCAACTCTTCCAGTTTGCTTTGCAGCTTCTCATTTGCTTGCTCCGTCTGTGGGCGGGGTGACAAAAAAGTATGGCACATGTGACGATCATGGTAATATCTCCAAATATCTTTCCAAAGATGAATATCTAAAAAGGACAATTATATATGTTTGTGGATGGTTCGAAACGGTCAGTCAGCGTTGCTGTGTGATGTTGGCATGGCCTGCAGTATGACAGAGCCAGTCCTAGACTAGCGCAGGTCCTCATCCTCACCATGATGATCCTCTCAAGCATCAGGGCAGTCTGGCCTGCTGCCTCGCTCAACGCACGGCTCAGCTTGTTGTTCTCATCCTGTAGGGTACGGGTCCTCTCCAGGATCTTAGACACGTTCTCCGCTGGCTCAGACCTTTTCATAGAAGAGATGAAAGGAGTCAGTGAGATACTTTTTCGCAGTAAGTTCCCAGTATGGATGTTCAGTCTGCCAGTCATCATAGGTTGACAGACTCTTTGACTGAATAGATGGATAGAGGACTACAGACATATAGTCTGGTCCAGAATTATTGGCACCCTTGATAAGGATGTGCAAAAAGACTACATAATACAAATACTGAGCTAAATTGTACGCTCAAAAAAGGGGGATATTATATTATTTTATACTAACACAATTACTCCGAAAGATTTTGTATTAAAAAAATATATAAATATATAAAAGGGGAAGAAATTATTGCCACCTCTGTTTTCAATACTCCAGCACCCTCCCCTTGCGAGGATAACAACACTGTTTTATGAGATTTGAGAACACCTTGCAAAGGATCGTAGACCATTCCTCCATACAGAATCTTTCCAGATCCTTGATGTCCTTCGTCTGTGCTTATGGACTGCCCTCTTCAATTCAAATCAGTTTTTTGAATGGGGTTCAAGTCCGGAGAGTGAGATGGCCACTGCAAAAAATGTGGACCAATGTGGTCTCTAATCTCATTAAACATTTTAGAAAAAGGCTCAGTGTCCTTATCCTCCCAACGGGAGGGTGCTGGAGTACTGAAAACAGGGGTGCCAATAATTTTGACCACCCATCTTTTTTCTTTATTACTTGTTTAACAAAATATATTTCTCTGAGCATGCAACATAGCTCAGTATTGTATTAATTGCGCATCTTTATCAAGGGTGCCAATAACTTTGGACCTGACTATGATAGTTGGGGAAATTATCACAAAATTAATAGCTTTAGTAATTACCCAGAAAGCACTGGTGCCACACCCCCACGTGCATGCAGAAGCATCACCTGTAGCTCCTGGACCTGTGTTCAAAAGAGGAGGAAACGTTCCCATCAAAACAATGGACACTTAAAATCATGTAAACGTCGCCAACACACAAATTGTACGGTCACTCAGTCAGGTGGCCAGTGCACCTGCTGCTTCAGGCTTTTCATTTCAGCAGCTCGAGGGTCCACGTTGACCACGGGTTTGTTTTTGATCTTGCGGGCTCTGTCAGCGTAACGCAACGTGTTGATGGTCTCCTCAATGTTGGAGTCTGCAGGGCTGATGCACGCGATCATCAAGGTGTGGCTGTTACCTCCCAATGAATCTGATGGAGAGAGCAGTATTTACTATTTAATGGCCACTATAAAACATGAAGTCTTAGTATAATATATATAACTGATTCTAAATATAAGAAGAACATGGCGGATTTGGATGAATGCTTTTTGTTGTGTTGAATGCCTTAGGGCAGGGACAACTGATGGGTGGAGGCCACAGAATCTGAACTCAGTGGCTCGCGGGTCTGCGTACCCACAACCACCCCCACACATGCAGTCAAAGCCGGCGCTGTTTGCAGAGAACGACAGGGTGTTGTCGAGGGTCACGCCAAGGTACTTTGCCCTCTGGGAGTTGGGCAACGTTGGAGTTGTCAACCGTGATGGAGGCCAGTTGCTCATCCCTGCCTTAGGGTATATAACTTACAAATCTCTTGACTGTTCTTTCAGTCATCTGACTAGCACAAGGTCTTACACCACATGACACCATCTTTGTTATGTTAGGCTGCATTGTACTTAAAAGCTCATCCTAAATTGACACTGGACCCAGAAAGATCCAGCGGTAATCACTGGGATTTGGACTGCCCAACCACAGTCCGTGACAACAACACCTGCATCAGCTGACCATCCTTTTGAGCGCTCACCCTGCAGCAGGCGGGTTAGTTTAGAGTCCCTGTAGGGCACAAAGCCGGTGCCTTTCTTGCTCTCGTCCCCGAGGGCGCTGATCACGTTGCCCAGGGAGAGCAGGCCTCGGTTGATGCTGATGCCTGAAGCAGACAGGATGAAAGCAGAGAATCAATAAGGTTCTGATACTGAACTAAATCACAAATCGAAATAGAACTGGGACTGTCTTTTAAACATGTAGATTGTGCTAATAATTGACCATAACAATACTAAAACACACATCTTACTACAGTCAATGAAAGCTTGTTATATAAAGTATTAGCTTCTGGGAGCTTCTAGTCTCCCGAGTGGCGCAGTGGTCTAAGGCACTGCATCGCAGTGCTAGCTGTGCCACTAGAGATCCTGGTTCGAATTCAGGCTCTGTCGTAGCCGGCCGCGACCGGGAGACCCATGGGGCGGCGCACAATTGGTCCAGGGTAGGGGAGGGAATGGCTGGCAGGGATGTAGCTCAGTTGGTAGAGCATGGCGTTTGCAACGCCAGGGTTGTGGGTTCGATTCCCACGGGGGGCCAGTATGAAAAATAAATAATGTATGCACTCACTAACTGTAAGTCGCTCTGGATAAGAGCGTCTGCTAAATGACTAAAATGTAAATGGTAATCAACTAACCTTCCTTCAGACGATCTCCCTCAGCTTTGGTCTTCTTCTGTCTTTCAGAGCCGGCCAGATCCACCAGGTGTAGTTTTGACACCACATTGTCAGATCTACAAACACACATTTGGAAACAGAAAGGAAGAACTGAGGACAAATCAACTTGCAGACAAAATTAAATCAAATTAATTGAATGAACTATATCAAGAGATATTTGTATATAAACAATGTTTATGCTCCGCTCTGCGTGTCAGATACATTTATGAACGGCAACGTTTCCTTGGGATGAACATTAGAAGGTTAGATCTAAGGGAGAAAGCAAGAGAAGACTGACTTGTCTGCCCCCCTGCGCTGCTCCAGGGTGATGGTGAATATTGCGTGGGAGCGAGACGAGGCAGCATTCATGGCAGTAGAGCCCACAGTGCGGGCTGAGTTCCCCAGCTCCAAGCAGCCCACCATCTCATGGGCAGACAACACCTGTCTCTCAGTCAGGCCCACGATCTAAGATGGGGCGGCAGATGGACATTGGATTTTAAAAAACATTCCCCCAAACGGTCCTTTTAAACAAATGAATGCAACATGTTCAACGATTACAGACAGTTCACTCACCTTTATGCCTTCTTTGGGGTCCTCCCGAATGTTGATGGTTGATGGTTTATCTTTGGATACCGATGGACAGAGCAAGTCCAGGATGTCTTCATTGTATATCTATGGCAAATAAAATGTATACATAACGTTACAGAAAAACATGGCCAGGATACTTCCAGAAACAAAGAGGTATTTCTTCAATATTCAGAATCCTCGCTTTTTGAGCATCACGACTCCCTGTTTTGAGTTTCTGAAAAGAGGAACGTAACAATGATTATTTTGGCTGTTATTACAATCAAACCATGGCTTTGTGTTATGACAATCAAAGAAGATAAATAATAGAGGTTCCCACACACCTCCAGATAGGTCACTGTAAGAGAGATTTCACAATCGGTATGCTTCTCCCTTTCCTGGAAGATCATTCTGACCACCCTGGGGATGACTCCAACGGTGGGCTCATTCTCCTGGGCCGACGTGTAGGTTCCTCCCATAGAAAAGGTCTTCCCTGAACCAGTCTGTCCATACGCAAGCACAGTAGCATGATAGCCTTAAAAGATAAGTAGAAACATACAGCTTATTGATCCCATTCCATTGTGTCTGCTTACTGGTTCTATGGGCAATACTGTGTGAAAGTAAAAGGTTGGTCTTCCCTACCTTTAAAAAGACCACACAATAATGGTGAAACAGCACTGTTGAAGACTTCCTCTTGTTCAGTTGTAGGATCAAATACATAATCGTATGTGAACGTCTTTTCAGTGCCAACAATCACCTGCAAGATAAGATAATTATTTAGACTATAATTGTACTTATGTGGCTAGCTATGAAATGGGATCCATAAAACATCAGGCCAGGTGCTTTGTTATGTATTGTGGAATAGATTGCTGACCTGTGGCTCCCCTGGCACGAAAGTGAGACAGGTCTGGCAACCCTCGTTGATTTCTTTAGCAACCAAAGGTCGACACCGCAGGGCAACCCGCACAGGGATCGATTTATCATCTTCCTTTGTCATGCTTTGAAATCAGGCGATTGACAGATTCAGAACAGGATTGTACGTGACTCGAGAGGGTGGCCAATACTTTAAAGCAATGTTGTCATTGGAAGATTTGCAAATCGGAAAACTATTTTCTGAAAGCTATTTTAGCCTCATTGTGATTCTATTCACAACCGACCAAACCCATCTGATAATACTACGGACGGCTGCTGTTAGTATTGTTAGCCAGCACACCTGGCGAGCTAACGTTAACTTGTCTATATCATCGGGCTAGCTAACCCCCATTATGAATCATACCACTACCATGCCCTACCCATCCAAATAAGTTTAGTAGGTAAAGTTAAGGAGGACGGTCACTTACCTTGGGGGCTGACAAGACGTTAGTCTTCACCCCTACAATGAGTTAGCTAACGTTCGCAAAAATGTGTGTGCCTCTAGCTTGTTAAACGTTTCAAAAAAATAAATAATTCAGACGATAGAATAAGAAGAGCTTCAGTTCATGAATGGCATATAACCACGCATCAGTTGTCGTAAGAAATCTAGACTGAACGTTTATTTTCTTCAAACGATAACTTCGGTCAGTGCTTGTCATGGATCTCGTCTTGCCCGCCACTTTCAAATATTCAGCCCCGCCTCCACCACCCGTTTTGCGTCGCAGAGTTGCTGTCATTCGCCTGTTTCTCAAATTTCAAAATAAAAGCCTTACATATACTGTACATATAATCCGCTCACATTGCATACATTAATTTAAATTAAACAATATATAATGCAGTAATATCTCAAGATATGAAAATAATATAATCTTATTTCTTATGAACTCATTTGAATATGGCAAATCCTCTTAGAGGGCCGGTTGCTGAAGTCCACAAAACAAAAAGGGAATTACTGAAACATGGGATAAATCACAAGAGAGATCAATCACTGGGTCCAACGCAAGTTTCAACTAAGACATTTATTACACAAACACAACAAAAAACACATTCCCACCACACCACCATTTCTCCCATGTCCCCATTAGTTATTTTTCTTCTTCACAACATGGGCACAGTCATATTTTCCCCTGACCACAGTCAGCTTGACTCCTGGCAGGTCCTGTGTCCTGCCCCCCTGCACCAGCACTACATTGTGCTCCTGGAGGTTGTGTCCCTCCCCGGGGATGAACACCACTGCCTCCTTGCCGTTACTGAGGCGGACTCTGGCACATTTACGGTTGGCCGAGTTTGGCTTCTTGGGTTTCCGGATCATTGTCTTCAGGATTACTGCCTTCAGCTGGGGGCGGCCGAACATGGCACTGACGCTCGGGGGAGGGGGCGATGGCTTTCCCCGGCGATGCATCTGATTCAGCGTAGCCATAGTTCTGGAGAGGCCAGGTCCGGACCATTGGGAGCCAGACTGAGACACTGTATTAGGGTACAAAGACTGCATAAGAGATCTGCTCCAATGTCTAATGTTGAGAGTAAAAAGTATAAACATAACAGCTGGTGTTGGCTACAGATTTTCTGTTATCAGCTTTTGTTCTCACACAAAAAAAATGTCCCAGGGATGAGGAATCCCCACAGTCTGATAAATGGGCCTAAATAAGATGCTGAGGGTATTCTGAAGTAGGGATGGGCAATCATCTTCAAAAAAGGTGCAGTGAGGATGCAGGCTTTCACTCCAGCCAAAGCAGTACCATACTTCATTCAACTTACCATTTAATCAACATCTGGTCTTCAATAAATAAATACTTATTTTTGTGTAATCAGCTGAGTTCATGGTTTCACGCACACTGGCCCTAACAAGGTAAGATTACCCACCCCTGCAGGTCTGAAGTGAAGTGCATGGATGATGACTTTCACTGTTAACCCTCTGTGTGTGTAATATGATTATATTGTTTTATGTGCGATTTAGCAGACGCTTTTACCCAAAGCAACTTTACAGTCATGTGTGCATAAATTTTTTGGTGTGTGTGTAATACGCAGGCGTGATGACATTACCTTGCAGAAGTGATGTCAACATTGGTCTCAGACTCCCCAATGAAGCCATCCCTAAAGAGGCAAAAACAAGATTTAGGGGGAACCTGTCTGTGTCTAACCCTACAATTTCCTCTAGTCTAGTCTAAAACCGTGTTCTACAGTATTTTCAAATCGTACCTGCTGCTTTTCAGTTCCTGGCCAAGAACAAACCACCCACGTGTGTTTTCAAAGTATATAACAACTTGTAATAGGGAAAATAAGAAACGTCACACAAAAATCATAACCACGGTGACGCAGATGACCTCCGGAAGTATTATATATATTTTTCCGCATTGAGTGCGACAGCTTCCGTTGCAGATGTTTGTAAGAGCACTACTGCCACCTACTTGCTGGTTACACGAAAATAACCACAAAATCCCATGCACGTTATGCTGGCCACGAATAAGAAAGTGCTTGTGGATCTGATGTTGATCGTTTTCTAAATAAACCCAAAGGTATCTTATATGTTAGAACCCTTGAAATAGACAGGGGTGTGCTGGATCAGGATGGGTAAACCAAAGCAGTGTCAAGTCAGAGTTTAGGTAAATTCTGTTTAAAATCCATCCCAAATTGATTATAGTCAAATTGTCCTTGAAATATTGTTAAACTCATGACAGTAGGCTACGTTATTTCATTTTTTTCATTCAGGTGATATTTTACAGGCAGGTTATGAGTCTAGAAAATATGTTAAATGAAAGATGACAGATCATGCATCTCACTAGTTTGTTCCTCATATTTGATAGAATTGTTTGTCTATGTTTATAATTGTTAGGAAGAAAGTTGAGATCCACAAAACACTGAAGATTTTGTGTCCAGGATAGTGTTTACAGTTTTTTTCAATCTCGAACCACGTTTCCATCCACCGTTTTTATGCAAGTAAAGTCATATAGTATCAAAGAAAAATCATGACAGCTGTGATGGAAAGAGGAAGTTTCTGTGTAATTTTATAAATACTGACAGATAATTTGTTCGTTCGACATGGTGGGATCTTTTTGTGTTGTTAAAATTAATTATGCAGGAAAGCGGTGGAACGCCTTTATGCGCAAATATTTATATAATAACCCAACCTTGCAACAACCATCATATCGAGGTACATTTGGAGTCACTCGATGATATGGTGCCCATAGCATACCAGCAGATGCGAGCTGTTGGCTACTTCGCAGATGCCAAGACATAAGTAGGCACCTTTGCTATTTAACGCAACCGTTTTTGTTACAAAACTAATCGGTAGAGTTGAAAATGCGGTGGAAACACATTGAATTTAAGATTTTTATTCGGTATATGAAAACTTTTGCGAAAAAGTAAATGGTGTGCACTACGTCATCAAGCACCGATTTTATCCTGAAGTCCAATTGGTGGAAACAGCCCATATTTTCTTTATGTGGATTCTAGAATATTCGCATGAAAATCTGTCGCCAATTGGATGGAAACCTAGCTACTGGTGCAATTTTCACAAGTATGTGGTACTTTTTCACAATTCTAAGCAAAAACAAACTCATCAGAATGGCTCATGTTTCAGAACTCTAATCACATTCTCAAATGACTGAGTACAACAAACAAATTCACAGTCACTTGTTCACTGCACCAAATCACTTTCAAGTTGGAAACATATTCAATCTAAGCATCTGGTTTTCAAAATGCAATATTCACTTTACTTTTTAAATTATTTTCTTGTCATTTGTTAACAATACTGTCACGAAGTGGAATGTGACATGTTATTTTAGACCTGGGTTGAGAAGGTAGACTGATGTAGCTCGTGGTCCTCTGTAGCTCAGCTGGTAGAGCACGGCGCTTGTAACGCCAAGGTAGTGGGTTCGATCCCCGGGACCACCCATACACAAAAATGTATGCACGCATGACTGTAAGTCGCTTTGGATAAAAGCGTCTGCTAAGTGGCATATTATTATTATTATTATTATTATGTAGAGACCAACACAAAGGACCAGCTTCAAAACATTTATTTTTAAGGCATGGTTTTCGGTTCAACTGTTCAACACATTCAAGTCAAATCGTCAATACACATAATTTCAGTTCTTGGTATCAGTTTCCTTCAGTTCAGTCTTACTTTAAAAACCATTCCATTTAAAACATAAACCCAAAGAAAACAAAAGGGGCACAGGAAGTGTTTGTTGGTGAAACCATAATTAGGAGAGGGAGTACAAACCATCGACGCTAGACAGAGTGGAATTAGGTTTAAGCAAAAGGCAGTTTATTAAAACAGAGATAGCTGGTACTGTTAAGCTACATGCATGGACCCAACCAATTGCCTCTTAAGGAGACAGTTGAGAAGGGCGATTAAAAGGAGTTTACAGCATTACTTTATACAATGTAACATAAAGGAAGGGGTCCTTCTTCTAGTCCCTTGATTGGTTCCCGAGGCGTAGGAGGCGGGTCTGCTCTGTCCAGAGCATATGCCCCATTGGTGCACGGCAGAGTCCTCTGCCCTTGGCACCCGACCAGTAGAAGGAAGTGGAGAATGAGTGTGCGTGCAAATGAAATATTTGTGTGTGTCCAGGGAACTGGTGAGGAGGATCTGGTGATTGTGGCCTTGGGCGTGGGTGTTGTCCTGTTATTACACTCCTGACTAGGCCATCTGGTGACAAGATATGGCTGCTCTTCTACTGTCCTTTGTTCGACAACCAACACAACAGCCCACTGTTAATACCAGACACATGACAAATCCCCCTCTTCACGTTATAACATTTTATATTTACTACGACAAATTATATTTACTACGACATGTTGCAGCCCAGGAGGCATGCGTCCATTTTGTCACATTCTCAATTAAAGCTCAAACGCCATATTCAATGTGCTCTCACCCAGTGGTGTAAAGTACTTAAGTACAAATACTTGAAAGTACTACTTAAGTAGTTTTTTGGGGTATCTGTACTTTACTATTTATATTTTTGACAACTTTTACTTCACTACATTCCTAAAGAAAATTATAATACTTTTTACTCTATACATTTTCCCTGACACTCAAAAGTACGTTACATTTTGAATGCAGGACTGGAAAATGGTCTAATTCACACACTTATCAAGAGAAGATCCCTAGTCATCCCTACTGCCTCTGATCTGGCGGACACACTAAACACATGCTTCGTTTATAAATGATGTCTGAGTATTGGAGTGTGCCCCTCGCTATCCATAAATAAATAAAAAACAGAAAATGGTGCCGTCTGGTTTGCTTAATATAAGGAATTTTTTGCTTAATATAAGGAATTGTATTTTATTTTATTTGCCCTGAACTTAGTCACTCTCACTAGCTGGCTACCACCCGGTTACTCAACCCTGCACCTTAGAGTCTACTGCCCTATGTACATAGACATTGAATCACTGGTCACTTTAATATAAAATCTAATCAAATCGTATTTGCCACATGTGCCGAATTCCACCTTACAGTGGAATGCTTACTTACAAGCCCTTAACCAACAATGCAGTTTTAAGAAAAAAAGTGTTAAGTAAAAAAAAAGGTTATGGAACATTGGTCACTTTAATAATGTTTACATACTGTTTAACTCATTTTATATGTATACAGGTAAAAGTCAGTAAATTAGAATATTTTGAAAAACTTGATTTATTTCAGTAATTGCATTCAAAAGGTGTAACTTGTACATTATATTTATTCATTGCACACAGACTGATGCATTCAAATGTTTATTTCATTTAATTTTGATGATTTGAAGTGGCAACAAATGAAAATCCAAAATTCCGTGTGTCACAAAATTAGAATATTACTTAAGGCTAATACAAAAAAGGGATTTTTTAGAAATGTTGGCCAACTGAAAAGTATGAAAATGAAAAATATGAGCATGTACAATACTCAATACTTGGTTGGAGCTCCTTTTGCCTCAATTACTGCATTAATGCGGCGTGGCATGGAGTCGATGAGTTTTCTGGCACTGCTCAGGTGTTATGAGAGCCCAGGTTGCTCTGATAGTGGCCTTCAACTCTTCTGCGTTGTTGGGTCTGGCATTCTGCATCTTCCTTTTCACAATACCCCACAGATTTTCTATGGGGCTAAGGTCAGGGGAGTTGGCTGGCCAATTTAGAACAGAAATACCATGGTCCGTAAACCAGGCACGGGTAGATTTTGCGCTGTGTGCAGGCGCCAAGTCCTGTTGGAACCTGAAATCTCCATCTCCATAGAGCAGGTCAGCAGCAGGAAGCATGAAGTGCTCTAAAACTTGCTGGTAGACGGCTGCGTTGACCCTGGATCTCAGGAAACAGAGTGGACCGACACCAGCAGATGACATGGCACCCCAAACCATCACTGATGGTGGAAACTTTACACTAGACTTCAGGCAACGTGGATCCTGTGCCTCTCCTGTCTTCCTCCAGACTCTGGGACCTCGATTTCCAAAGGAAATGCAAAATTTGCTTTCGTCAGAAAACATGACTTTAGACCACTCAGCAGCAGTCCAGCTCTTT